TGTCAGGGATCGAACCCAGGACCTTTAAGTTCCGTGGCCAGCAGGTTACCACTGAGCCACTGGGTCGAAATCCAGTTAACGATTCCACAAATTCAATATTACTAGGGTTTTTAATCAGATATTCTTAAATCTAGTGAACTGTGTTTATTGAAGTTCCTCACAGATAAAATTTTAGAATATGTATTAGATGGGGTGGTGAGACGGCATACACACTCTAGACAGCTTGACTGAGAGAAATTTTCGATTGGATAGAGTATGATTGGATCAAGAGAGTTCAGAAGAATCATATCAGTAATACCGCTCAAAACTGACTGACGTACATACACAGAAATAATAAAATGTGAAATTTTATACAATTTGTAACTCTGAGGAAACACAACCACTAAAATTGACAAGGTAACAACATCACCAAGAAGGATAAGAAAGGAGAGATAATCAAACACCTTTAAGCATTCTCAAGACGATTTATCAGTGATATTGTCATTGGTTTAGAGTTAAATCAAATCAGGAGCACTTGAGCATAGATACTTGACTACGTAATAAACCTGAAGATTGAGGGTTCGAACCCAGCTTAGTTTACGAGGAAGTACTATTGTGCCAGATTGGCAGCTATTCCATCCACTGAGTCAGTTATTCATCTTCCTAGTGTATTAAGACATATTCATCTAGCAAAAAAGTACTGTATCAAGAGTGGTCGTCAAAACATGAAAATTGACATCACCACCATTTTCTAGGTCAAATCAGGAGCTATGGTTGAATAGTCTAGGGAGAGGACTACCAACCAATGAGTGGCAAGCTCGGACCCTACTTAATCAACTGAGGTTTGCGCAACCAGGTAGTATCACAAGCCCTAACACAATAGGTGTGCCTCATTGCCTACTGAATGAATGCGCCTGAGGTTGCTGAGTGCGTTTCGCTCGTCTGTCAAATCATATGCAATAACGTGAAAACTGCAGCATAGTTATGTACCAGGCAAGCAAACAGTAAGCAACAGAACCCGTGAACGTGAGTCGCAGTTTTTGAAGCTATGGTTACTGGAATCGAGTCCCAGTATGTACAACATCAATCACTACTGGGGTGCGGTTAAATGAGCTGCAAAGAGGACGGAACGCGCATCCCGGATTACACTGCTAGACACAACCAAGTTAATTATAACGCACAATGATAGTGTTGCTGAGAAAATTTACAACGTGGATGACAGTACATCAGTGACAAACATATCAACATAGAACAGTGGACAGGAAAAGTTACAATATTAACATAGACAAAAGTGTATGAGAGGAGAAAGAATTTGAAAAATTGAAGGTTAGTCAAAACATCCAAGCTTTAGAAGACATTAAAAAGTGAATGCATCTAAGCTATTGAGACCGATTTCAAGCCACTGCACCAAGAGTTCTCAACCATTGGTAACTATGGTCTCGGAGACATCAATCAGTAGTCAGTGCCTCCATATATGGTTCACATGTATGTCTAATGGCTTCAACATGTGCCAAATACGCCAGTCCCCTCCATCTCCTTGATATACGATGTCAGGTGAAGCAGAATTCGGTCAGAAAAAGCCTAAGGCTGACAACGCAAGATTTTGCACCAGTTAATAAAATCTATGACAGTTGGTCTGAATCGTGTAGGGAGGTGTTTAGTCACCAGGACTTCGTTTTCATGATTATTTTGCATACAGATTTACCTTTAACCAGCAGTATCCCCATCTGTTTTCCACAAAATCCAAGATGTATTACCTATGAGATTGGGAGTCAATTAACTGCTTCAATCAATGAATAGAGTTATAAAATACACTACAGTATTTACTTAAAATTTTGTAGGTTACTAGGGATTTCGTGTTGGTGATAACACCTTGTGATATATTGGGCAATCAAAAGGAAACCCTGTTGATACTATCACAATTGAAAAACTACTCAGCTGTGAGAAATCTGTCATACAGACATGCAATTTGTAAATCATCATTTGCATATTGATTATCCATACACATCAACTAACCGAATTCAGGTGATCTGAACTAATTCGGCTCTATGAACTGAATTTCTCCGCTAAAGAACTCGCCCCTAAACAAGCAAAACAGCTACTCGGTGTGTAAATCACTTTGATCGATCATCTAACGAAATCTAACTACTCGTCTTGTTCAGAAGTGTATTTCATCAAAACACCCAGACTAAACTGACTATCGATTTGTTAAAACAACAAAAAAGAACACAAAAATACATTGGAGGTTTAACTAGTGTAAAATAGGCTTTTAACTTGCAAATAAATATGTGTAGACAGACACTGACACACACACACACACACACACACACATTCACAGGCAGACATACATATACCTGTTTCACACAGACAGGAAAAAAGGTGATTAGAAGAATAAGGCTTTAAATTCAATGGTCAACTAATGGTTGGTAATAAGTTAGAGGAAAAACAAAGGACTGTGAGTGTATGGAAGTGAAAAACAGAATTGGGGAGTCCTGGAAGCAGTAGACAGCCGTTTCGTCCTAGTATGGGACACCTCAGCAGTGAACACCCATGACCTGCCAGGACCTTCAGGTTTCACGGTGGACAAGTTACGTTACCATTGGGCCACTGAGTCTCAATCCAATGGTCCATATTTCCAACTTGTCATCGTTGAGTATTTGTCCTCACGTCCACCAGGTTCGCCAGACGTCAGTCACAGCTTATTATCGGAACTTCAGGAATCACCTCTAGATGCTAGTCACCAATAAGCACTAGATTAGTTCAATTTGGGGGTTGGTGGGGATTCGTTTATTGATTTCAGGTTGGTATTCATCATGGACTGAGATCAGTTGGAGAAACACTGGAAACTTGGGAGGACTGGACAGCTGTTTCCAATGTTCCTCTAACTAATGTCAGTCCATGATGAATACCGACCTGAAATCAATTAATAAATCCCCATAAGCCCGCAAATTGAAAAATGAGGAGAGAAAGCAGCATGTTGTTGGTTATTTCTTATCCGGAGAAAAGTTTTTTTGTGTGTTTGTGAATACTTGCATGTAGGATGTGTATTGATTCTTTTCTACAACACCCTATTACGTAATAATTTTGCTTGGTAGATAGGTTAGATAGATAGGTGGATGGGGTTATAAGTAAACTGTCACAAATCATGTCAGATGTTTCTTATGTTTTCGTATTTCAAAGGCATAAACAACTAGACAGACATAAAGAGACAAACAAATAACGTTAAGATAAGGGTAGAAACAGCTTCTCTCTTTATTAAAAACTGTGTAAAAAAGAGGAAGAATATCTACCGAACAACATCTGATATCCGCTGCACAAGAGTTGACACTCATGCCCCAGTGGGTAACGTTTTGGCATTTAAAGCGATGGGCACCGGGTTCGAGTAGCACCGTGGACAAGATCACACAATAGGGTGCAGATGTATTTACCTGATGAGTGAGCCTTAAATAGGATGAAATGCGCGTGTCGGACTCCACCGCTGGCCACCAAGCAGGAAGAATAATTAGTTAATAGACGACACGCGTAAATGGGAAGAGGGAGAAGAAAATCAAATATCCAGGAGTACTGGTAGTAGTACACAACTTGTTCGCCTCTTATTTACACACACACACATACAACCATACCGATTATCTGAGACGTCATCACAAGAAGGTTTCAAGTCAGTATTTGTCATGAACCGACATCAGTTTTGAGAACTCTTAAAAACCTGGGAGCACTGGATAACTGTTTCCTACTAGTACGGGAATCGTCACCAGTTCTCATCCATGACCTCACCAAGGCTCGGACCAAGGTCCCAAGACCAGCACGTTGGTTAGCAGTCTCCTACTTCCATCAATTCAGGATGTGGCGTAACCTCAACTGACAGAAGTAGGAAAATATAGTCCTTTGGGTCCCGACCCAGCGGCTCAACCATAACGTGTTGAACGTGGAATCCTAAGGCTCCGGGCTCGAACTCCAGTAGTGTTATGGATGCACACTGCTGAGGAGTCCCGTGCTACAGGGAAACAGCTATCCAGAGCTCCCAATTTTTCAATAGTTCTCCAAAATGTTAGTTCGTGACGAACATTGATTTGAAGTCAATAATATCCCCACAAAGCTCCAAACTGAAGTACAAAAAGTTGAAAAGCTGTGATCGAATAGACCAGACAAGTGGGACTTATTGTTACCGGATCTTATGGTAGGTTAGTGTACACTTCCAAAGAGAAGTTGGATCGTCATAGAGATAGATACCATGAGGATTAACATAAGTAGTATTATCTTTAACGCTAAAATTTGAATTCATTTGGCAATGAGATTCTGTATCTCAACATAATTCTCTTGATCTGATATCCAAGTATATGTCTATGCATGCGAATTATGTGTATTGTGTCCGCGTGTACACCAAACTCCGTCACATAAGGTATGCAGGAAGGTGGACAGAAAAAAGCTGAAGTATTCACGTATATACACGTTAACTGATAAGCACTACCTTGTCAACCAGAGCACACACGCACATTGAATCTCATCAACAATCGAATATATGAAGAGCACCTACCAATGCAACACACTTGTCAAACAAAGAAGAACAGGCAACAGAAGAAGCAAGCGTGGGTGGAAAGAGTGCAGAGAAAAAAAAATTTACATCTACAGTTGTATTGACAATAGGAGGAAACAGGCAATAAAAAAAAGGCAGACAAAAATAACAAGATAATGACAATGTCAAAAAAGACCACGGAATTCATGTGAATTGGAAAAATTCAAGGACTGACTATTACACAACCGCCATGTTGCATAACAGAATACATTCTCTCTTTACCTGTCTGAAAGAGAAGACATAAAATTTGTCCAGTGTGTGTGTGCGCGTGCGTAGGCGGACACCTCTGCACACACACACACGCACATATATATGTATATTAGAAAGAGAAGGCAAATAGTAGCATAGATGCACATGAATCAATAACAGGGAAGAAAAAATAATAATCAATAATCCACATTTTGTCAATAAAATAAATATAGCACATCAATATATTTTTGTGACTTACACTTGATATATAGTGATAGGGCAAGTGAAATGAAAGCAGCAACAATCAATACAATTAAAGTTAAATCTTGTAAAGCCTCCCACATTAAGCGTAGAAATGTTTTAGCACGTTGTTGTGGAATAACATTAGCACCGAATGCATTAATTCGTTTAGAGAAATCCTCTTCGTGTAAACCTAGAGGAGAGAGAGAGAAGAGTAAATAAAAATTGAGAAAAGACAAACACACAATTGATGAAATAAATCATCAGTTGAATTGAAAATATTCACTTTTCGAGAACAAAAAGTGAAACTTTGTAAAACATTCGGGTTTTGTCTACATTATCATTAGATAAATTAATTAACCACTAAACGTTATGTCTGCCAGGGATCCTCACTCCTAACGTCCTCGTTTAATTTCGTTAGAGATACACTTATCGAAGTAATCTTAGGTTACTTTGACTCCCTGGAGGGTAAATGGTTGGACTTGGAATATGCAACTTGACTTACATAGGAAGGTGTATAAGATACAGAAGGCTTGTTTGACATTTGAAAACTTGCATCATCGATGGAACCTACTGGTAAGATATCCAATTACCTATTAAAGAAAGAATGTTCTGAGCTGTAGTTTATTCTATCCTGTTGTGCAGCCGTAAGACATATCCGTTTAAAGCAGAAGACAAGTATTTGACCCCAGGTATCATCGTAGCATCACTCGCGTTCAGTGGAATCAGTGTGAGAAATATTGAGGATAGGTGGAGGCTACTAGACAAGACAACCAAGTCGATTGATGAGGTTGTGAACCTTCATCGGCTAAGATGGCTAGAACATGTGCTGCGCATGCCAAGCCATGGTCTACCTCGATGTATCATGCTAGAGGAAGTTGGATTAGATTGGAAGAAGGTTTAGACTGACCAAATCAAGATGTCGCATCAGTCAATGAAATCCCTGACTGCTGGTGTGAGTTGTATAGAGTGAAACCTAGCTGGGGATTCCCAGAGACTATAGGAATCAGTGGTTGAGGAGTCTTGGAGACGACCGAAAATCGGTCACAACGGCGTAGATGTGTGGTAAATTGAATCGATGCACTTGTGCACGACGTTCTACGTTGGCTTTTCGGGGTGGTAAAAACTAACTTCAATCTCTCTATTCACTTTTCAACTAGTGTCGACATTACTCTCAGTGAGAATGGGTGATAACTGAAGGTGAAATGAAACCATAGGTCATGACAAGACATGAACAAGCGATCCCCAGGTTACTGGTCTAGTACTCTACCAACTGAGCAACGAGACCCATCTGGTGACCAGGTTTTAACTTGACTTCAACCACTGAGAGTTCGTCATAATCACACTGGCTGCCCAGTCACTGATGCGAATCCTGCTGCAAGCCACACTTTCATTTCACCTTTAATCATCACTCAATATCAACAACAACAGTTTCTCCCTAACCATTAGCTTGGTTGTGACCAAGAGTGGAACTCAGGACGCGCGTCTCAACCTATTTGAGACACGTCAGCTGGAACAAGGGAAAATTAAAAGTATTTTAAAACATCTTAAACACTGGATCGTTTATGATTTTTCGCCCTGTTCCTCTTCACTACAAATGTTAGAATCTGTTTCATATGTAGGCGTTGTGTCTTACCATCGCTTATATGGATAAAAAAAAGTTCTTTAATTTACAGATTTTCACCCACCACCCCACCCTGCTCGATTCGATTGCTTCCACCCTGTTTTTAACATTACTCTGAAGAAAGACTGATACTGACAAGTAAATTAGCAGTAGTTGCTATATTTTATTCGTTTACAGTAAACAACATGGCTGTTTCTGACAGCGGTGTCCCATTGTCACAGACAAGTATACATATACACACAAGTACACAAAGCGTCTTTTCTTGACAAATGAAATTCCACTGACGGTGGGGAAAGAGGAAGGAGAAATGAACCAAAAGATTGGATACATCACTCATCAGTAACATTTTTGCTCCTCTTTCCCTCACACCCCTCTCGGGAACTAAAATAAGTGGAAAGTTAGCGATACCCAAAAGACTCAATAAATAACTCGCTTATAAAAGACAAGGAGAAATCCAACACCATAAAATATGGGAATACTGACGACAACAACGAGATAAAAACAAGCGATAGCAACGCATCACAAATTCAGATGGTAGTCGGAAAATGCCCTTGACGACTGATGTCAACGACTGCCTAGAAGCTCTCATTTCTCCCTCACATGATCTCCTCCATGTCACACTCTCCTCGGATGCCCAACTCGTCGTTTCCTTTTTGCGTTCTACTAGAGGGCTTGGGGCGTGATGTCCCCAATCGGCCTTCTCCGTGAATGTCCAATCAAATCCATCTCCACTTTCTTCTGTATATTTGTTGGGTGATAGGTTCTTGGTTGGTTCATCGCCACACCAGAGTTCCTTGTTGCTTATTCTTTCTGGCCATCTGATCTGATCTTCAGTATCGAGCCAGCGAAAGCAGCTGTTGATGAATGGGCTTAGTTATGCAATAATTCTTTAAGTACCAGCAGCCAGTTCCTACTCTCAGTCAGTTGATGGTTTAGTCCGATCATCTTCTAGTTAGTATCAATCAGTTAATCAGCGTCTTCAATCTCAGCATGTCTCTGAGATTAAAATGGAATTTCGAGCAATACTCACAGCAACAACAACAAAACGAACTGATATGCCAACATGAGGCATTCGAAATGTTTAACCATGACAACTAGTGGTTAGAATCTCTGTCACAATCATGTAGTAATTCAAGTTGTTGTGATTCAACCACTTCTAATTTACTACAGGCCTTTTAAACTTGGGCTAATGGAGGCTGTTGTTAACCGTCTTCTCTTCAAAGCTTTTACCTTGATAACAAAGCGATTACATCTCTCATACTGATACTTTTTATGAACTGATCAGTTTCTTGGGTTAGTTTTTGTTACTCAGCCAATATAGTTCACAGGGTAATAACTATCTCATCTTACCAAAGACTGTCAGATAGTAAAATAGGGTAGGACGGTGTATGAAACATATTGTAAGAAGGTTACTTCTCTCTCTGCAATACAGCGTCACACACTTGTAAAATCATTCATAGACAATGATGTAAGTCTACATGGTGGGTAACAGTGAAATACAAAATGTGCATCTCATCCTATTTGGCGCTTACTCGTCAGCTGGATGCTTCTGCAACCCCCCGCCTCCCGAGATTCAAACTCCGTGACCATCGCTTCAAACGTTAAAGCGAAATCCAGTAGGCGATGGTTACTGGGTTCAAGTGTCAGTGAGAACATCACTCACCGGGGTGTAGGTACATCCAGTTGACAAGTGAGTCACAGACAGGACGTAACGCGAGTCATGGATTCCCACTTCTAGCCACCAAGATGAATAACAATATAATGAATATTCGGGGAGTTTCAAGGCATCCGCATAGGAACCCATCTGATAACGGAGGTCGAGTAGTTCGACCCTGTTGGATAGTGGTTGGAAAAAAAGCAGTTGCCGTTGTAGTGTGAATCGCTTCGCTATGATGGGGTTCTGAAGGGGGAGTGGTACTACCGGCTTTTCAAGGAGATGTGCCATAGGCTCTATGGTAACACGCTGCCATTACTAACCCAACTTATTTTCCAGATACCTTGAAGAGAAATAACCTTCGAAGACATGGGAAATCGGAAAGCATGAGCTAGCTACACAACGTGGTCAGCATCTAAGTTCCCTCAGATTATTCATTATCAACCCTTCCATATCCTTACTTTCTGATCTTTCTATAAGTCTCTCGATCAATATTCCTAAGCCATCTTCATTTTCTTCCAGCCCCGCGTTGATACACAGCTTGGCACTTACTTGTACTAAACATTCCAGTCTTCAATGTAGAACAGTAAACCATGAAAAAGTTATAGCCGTAATGACAACTGAAAGGTGTTACAGTTTACGACAACAATGAATTAACCTCAGCTATACACACAAACACAGAGCAAATGTACACAAACACAAATAACATGAAAATATAAATATTCGTTTAGAAAGATGTTTTGACAGGTGTATAAACTGAGTTTCACGTGCAAGGGCGTACGCTCTATTGCACCTATGCAACAATACCCACAAGAAAGTAAAGCTTAGAGGAAAATCGAACGATGAACAGAAATAAGAATGATCGAAGATATGAATTTAGGTCAAACACACACACACACACACAAATATTTACAGCAGATTCTTTACCTCGATTGGAATGGTGTGTATGTATACATAAAGTAACAAGCAATAAGCAAAGTGATTTCGATATCTAGAAGTACTTTTAAATGATCATGGAATTATCAGAACATATTGACGATAGCTGTCACAACGGGGAGAGTTGTTCACAGACAGTATTTTATGGATGAAAACGAACTGGGTCTTTCACATAATGAGATATTCTTATGCTCATAAAGGTATAAGAGGATAATACAACACTATACTATTCTGCTGTAAGACTGTATGATAAAACTAGTAAAAGAAAAGCCTAGGTTACATACCTTCGAATAACTCTGAAGTTCCGGTAAGATTATAACAACGGAAAAGGACCAAGTCAGGAATAGGATGTTTGAATAACTTATCTCATGCTATTCAGATAATTTTAAAACTGGGACGATTGAGTTGACAAAAAATATATCGAAACCCTTATAGCAACTTTTTACACGTTCGTGCAGTAGACGATAAGGGGCGACTAACTGTGCGGAGGTGAAACAGAGTACCTGTTTGCCCAGTTTCGAGTAGTGAACCATAACTTTACGAGAGGAGAGGACGATAAAGACGTATGTTTAACATATCTATTACTCATAACGCTTTAGATGATTATTTGAAGCAGTAGGGGATGGAGTCTATTTGAGGTAATTCAAAGGAACATCATTCATCTAATTATCTGTGTTGTGCGGAAAGTGTAGGCTTTTCCAACGGATTACGCTAAAAAACAAACAATAGATAACTAGAGATTTAGGCAATATGCGGGAAAAATTAGTGATATTGATGGAGATACATTTACTCTCAAAAACGCTCATACTTTAATCACGAGTCTTAATTCATCTTCTAAGCAAATAAAAGTTAGTCGGTCAGTCAACATCAACACACGATTACTGCATAACGATACAAGTGGCTATTCATCACATTAGCAAATCCTGATGTAAGACAGCAAAATGACGGATAGGAAAAAAAGCATATGCACCAATGAGAT